ATGCAACTGGGTGAGGCCACAAAGTATAGCGCAGCATTATGCATTTGTTTACATGCCCACCGGAACCCCGAGGCATTACCAACGCACAATCAACCCATACAGCACATCTCTTTCTCCACATTAAGTGTTAGACATTAGAATTGCCTATTCTTGTCTGTAACATAAGTGGCGCAACTGAAGCGGTATTGCGCTAAAGGGAAATTATTTTGACCGGAGAGATTTAGATTTGCCGGCTGACGGGAACTCTGACGTCGCCATTTTGTGTGCTTCGCGGATGCGCTCGGCTCCTCTCGACTGCTGCTCGGAGTCTGCTCGGTCAGCTTCCGGATGAGGAGGCATTCGTTCGACCAACTTACAGTAGATAACATTACAAACATTTTTAACAGGGGCCATAATAGTGTAAATAATGTTTGTTTTGGCAGTTATAACTGAATGTTATGTTTTCTACTTTTTTACATCTGGGAAGGCATTTGCCTTCATCAGATGGAAAGTGTCTTGACCAACAACTTAAGTATTTCTTATAGCTATGCAGGGCATGCAAGCGAGCTAACACAAACAAGAACAAACAAACAAGTGAAATGAAGAATACAATTTAAATTGTACAATATAATATTGTGGTGGTTCATCTTATAATTCAGTCTAGAGAATGCACCAGACAGCATCTAAGACCTGCAAAAATCTAAATGTTCTAGGGGGAGGCCCCCCAAACCCTTCGTGCCATTTCGTCCGCGCGCATTTTTCAGGGCAATCTCTATTGGGCTCAGGGCCATCTGTAAATTAGCTTAGATGGCCCATCAAAATCCTTAATGTCATGCACTGATAATAGTCTAAGGATAGCCAAAACTATTCAAAAGTATGCTCAAGGGGACTCCACTATGTTTAATACTTTGATGGAAACCCATCCCATCATTGTTAAGATATTTCCTTTTTTAAATTACAGAGCGACAGAACATATCCTTAGAACTAGGATGGCTAATAAAAATCAAAACAACATGTGTAAAATTACTAAACCAAATTATAAATATTCACATTAAAACACCAATTCAACAAACAAAATGTAAAGGATCAGGTAAAGTGACCTTACTCCCTAAATATCCCATTGTACAGGAGACAGGATGAAGGAGACATTTTTTATCTTACACTCTTTCATTAATCAAGTCAAACCAGACTTAAAGCAACCCCAACACACCTGCTAGGATGTCCTGTAGCATGCATGTGAGGGAATACTGCGCCCAGGCGCCCCCCCAGGAGATGTCCCCCCGGTTGAAGTCTGTTCCCACAAGCAGGAGCAGCAGGCGCTCCAGCTGCTGCTCAGACACCACCTCACACAGGTGGATCATGGGTCTTGTGGCATTGGCTATTCTAGCAAGGACCTGAGGGGGTAAGAAAAGTACTTATTTATGTGTATATACAGATTATGGAATTTAACAAGTCCATGCATGAGGGTCCGATGGATACCTTGCAGACAAACAGCAGCAGGTCGGCGTGGCAGGTGAAGTCCATGGAGAGGAGGAAGAGGGCCAGCTTCTGCACCACAGAGATGCAGCGCTCATGGGACAGGGTGAAGGGCAGGGGCTCTACTTCTGGGGCTTCTTTGGCTGTGCTGGACTCCGTGTCCAACGTGGAGCGGGGCCACTCGGCCGTCCGCCGCAGACGGATCAGGTCTTTAAAATGCTGGAAGAGAGACGAAATAAAATGAACCCAGATTCATCATAGTTTTCTAATAATGCAAAATAACATAAGGCTCATATCTTCACTGTTTATCACAATGTGTGTATATCATAACACTCTAGATCTGAGGTGCCCAGTACGTCGACGGTCAACCGCGGGGGCAATGCTGGTAGATCACGAGTCATTCATAAAATAAAAGATCCAGCTCCGTTAAAATAGACAAAACAGGTTTTGATCCCTCCTCCCTTGGCCTCCTGCTACTAATCAGGAGTTTACTTGATTGACAGAAAAGCGACCTATCACTTTCCAGTATGTTAACCCAAAATGCAAAGCGATACAAAATCAGTCAAGTGCCGGGAAAACTCAAATTAAGTTAAAGAGACAAACAACAAAATGAGTGCGGGACCGAGCAAAAAGCTAAAGACATACCACTTCCACACAGAATGGGAGGAAGAATATTTGTTTGTGATGTCACATTCAAAGGTTATTTGCCTTATTTGTAAAGCAAGCGTCGCTCTGCCAAAGAAAGGTAATGTGGAGAGGCATTATCGGAGTGTTCACAAGGCACATGACAGCGACTTCCCTCCGAGTAGCGAGTTTAGAAAGAGAAAGGTCATGTATTATTGCTACAAAAACCTTATCTCGCAGTCTTAGTGTCGCCAACTCGTTTCTAACATGCAAAAAGACAAACAAATGCGTCTATGGTCGGTGTATTTTCGACCTTTCCAATCCAGACCAGATCTCTCTCTCCCGTCTGTGTGCGAGGGGGCGGGGCAGTTTACACACACACGCGGCTGCTACATGCAGCAACACACGGAGGAGATGGCGGAGAGAAGCGCTCCAAGGTGTGGTTAAATGTTACCCGTCTCGATGTGGACAATGCTCCTTTCCAAGAGTGTTTAGACGTGTAAGGCGGTAACACGAGCAATTTGTCTAAACATTTAGCAAAAGTGCACCACATTCAGACGGAGGAATGCACCGGGTTCGACTATCTTTCTAGTAGCTCTGTAGCCCCATCCACGAGTAACGTTTCCACGTCAGGTGTTATGTATGCTAGCAGCAACACACGGAGTTAACACAATTATACAAACATGGGTTAATGAGAGGTAACAGAGTTACTCTTTATTTTGTTAAAGTTTCAGCTATTCTGTTTACAGTTCTGTCATCACATTATTTAATAGGATTTGTTAAAACATTGTTGTTTCTTTTGATGTGAAATATTATTTA